ACCTATCGCTTTCTGTCACAGTTCTAGGGACTGTACCTTTACTGCTTACCTTATTGTAAGGAAAACTTCCATACTACATCTCCCATTGTTGATGTGTGAAGTGGTTGTAGAATAAGACCCAAAGAGTAATGATTCATTTCAGGTCTCAGATCTCTAACTGACTCCTGTTCCAGTTGGTGAAAGACACTTGAAAAACCACAGCACAGTATTTGGAGTAGTGAAATAGTATTTTAAGTGATGTTACAGATGTAAAATTGAAGTATGACACATATATATATATATATATTAATTTTTTTTTTAGGGTGTCTTTGGGGCATTGGATGTCCCCCTGCTCCCCCCCTCAAGTGCGTGCCCTCCTGTGGCAGCTGCAAGCAGTTAGGGTCCCCAGCTCGACTGCACCAGCTGTAAATTGGAGGGCACGTGTAGGATCTTGCCATTTGGGAAATAAAAAATTCCTGCAGGGAGCAGTCTCTGGACTGCTGATTTCCAAAGGGAGAATGAGGGAGAGGAAAAAAAAAAAAAAAAAGAAAAAAAATCAAAGTTTGGAAATCCTTGTGGATTTGCAAGCTTCCCTAGCTGCATCCCGGGAGTGACAGGCACCAAAGGCACATCCCTTGAGGGGCGCGTTTTCCTCTGCAGGTTCCTGTATGGTTATTTTGTGGTCAAAGCTAAGTCCCTGGGGAGATCCAGAACCTCCCTCTGTTCCCTCCCTCTTCCACCCCCCCACTTCTTTCCTTCCTTCCCTCCCTTCCTATCTGCCCCCCTCCGGTGGCATTCCCGGGTGGTTTGGGGACCCCACGGGAGAGGTTCAGTACCTGAGTGCCTGTCACCTCAGCTCCAGCCTCTTGGTCCTCAGCCGCCCGCAGAAACCACCACTGGATTTCAAGGTACACGGAAGCGGAGCCACTTTGGAAAGCACAAGACATCTCCACATTCTGCCCTTCAGTGGCCGTGACATTTCGGGGAAACTCAGTGAATTTTGCTGCAAAACAAACGTGCAATGTGTTGGGATCTCCTATTACCTGCTCGTTGTTTATCCACCACTTTTTGTGTTGCCTTTGTCCTCCCGTCTCTCTCTTTTTTTTCCTTTTTAATTGATTTCCCTTTTTTCTCTCCTTGTTTCCCCTTTTTTCTGGTTTCCCAGTTTCCCCACATGTTATCTCCCCCGCTTTCTCAGACACCCAGGTGTGCCTGTCCTCCCTTACGCACAAATCCACCTTCTTTATGCTCTGAGCTCTGCTCTTAGGAAACGCTGTGGACCCCCCTGCTCGCTCCCAAGGGCTAGTAAAGTTTCATGTAATTAGGTCCAAATACCCTCGGGCAGAATGCGGTATTTCAGCAGGCTCACTGAGGGATTTTGTGCAAGACCAATCTGGAAGAGGAGAAAAATACCAGGCTGATTTATTGTATTTCGTGGGGCTGAGCTGGAGACGTGTTAAACCTCCCGCAGCCGGCGGGAGTGGCCGTTGGAACGGGCACCCTGATCAGGTGCCGGTTGCAACCACTGAGCAAAACGCCCATTTCAATCAATGGCTTTGCCAGAGTTATCTACTCCTGAGAACCTCTGCTTGCACAGTCCTACCACGAAGAAGCACAGCACCTGCTTTTCAGTCCTGGCGAACACTTTGTAGAACTAACCTCTACCTTCGCATCCCAGTCCTTCAACAAACAAGGTCTGCCTGTTCCAGTGCACCACTGCTAGATTTAAACACTAATCCTGATGGACATAGTCCAGGGCACCAGCATTTCCTTAAGTCACAGTCTTGACTTCCTTCTCCTCCTTTCCTACAATTCACTTTAAGATTGTGCAGCACGATGAAACCTGATAGTCGAGTGAGGAGGACTACAGACAAACAGCGTAATAAAATAAAACCTGTGTTTCAAGCAGAGGAAAAATTGGAAAGACCCTGCGATGTTGCATTCTGTTATGCAGTGTTGTGTGTTGACTAGAGCAGATTATGATGTGAAGGAAATACTGCTCATTGTCTCCTCCCCTCACTCTTTATCCCGGCTGCCTCGCTAACCTAGAACTGCTGGGATAATTTGGCAATACGCTCAACCAGCGCTACTGCTTTTTCCCTTTACGTTTGTGCTTGGCAACAGACACCTAGCAAAGCTACTATCTTGATATTTCACGGTGTCCCTGTTTCTGCCCCCC